TTGATGTAAATAAAATTTCAACTTTTAGTCGACCTCAGCTGGCCACGTTTATTGAATGCGCTTTCACAACGCTTCGACCTTTGGTTTAGGTCCTTATCAAGTGAGATCCAGGAGCAAATGACCGACGATCTTTTTGCGATACCGTACAATTCGGTTGTAATTCTCACGTAAACTGTATGTAAAACATTTACTCCTAGATCTCACTCGACAAGGACCTAAACCAAAGGTCGAAACGTTGTTAAAACGTATTCGATAAATGTGACCAGCTGAGGTCGATTAAAATTTGAAATTTGACTAATATTTAGTTGCGAAAAATGCGATCGGTTGTTCGATCAAATTTTATCGGATATATTAATAATTTAATTGGAAAACGCGATCGGAAAAATTAACAATCGGAAAGTCTATTTAATTGGTTTATCCGACGAAAAATTTTTCTCAGCGCACGCCAACGAAATTTTTCAGTCCGGTAGCGACGATGGCCGATGGCCACGCGATCACGGCCGTAATTCATAAATATTAAGTAACACGATGTTCTACAAAATTAATTTTTTATACGCAGCGGCACCGCCGTCGCCGTCGCCGTCATGCGGAGGAATGCAGAAGGCGGCGATGAGAACAATGTTACGGGCTGATTAATGGCTGGCAGAGCCCGATAGGGAATTCCGCGAGATGGGTACGTCGAAATGAATTGATAATTTATTGGGAGGAGTCGCCGCGCGGGGCGTGTGTGAAGTAAGAATCCGCGCGTCCCGTGACGAATATATTTATTTTGTCCGCTGAAATACAATCGCCTCGGCCTCTGAAGGCCGTGCCTGTGTATCGTCAGATAAATCACGAGGCGCGCAGACTGCGTGAAATTACTGATATTAATTGCGCTTCTGCGAAACGCGAGTAATAAACCATTATTCGGCGTTTAATAAGGGTCCGGATTCCGCGATCCATATTTACGGTATCTCGACGTGATAACGCGCGATTTCATCGTCAAATTCCCTTCCTTTTTTTTCAAGCTTTGTCGTCACGCGCGACGGCGCGTGACAATGTCACGCCTGTGGAAATTGGCACGAATTAGAAAGATATCGTAAAAGAGACGAGGGGCTAATGAAGCGACGATCAGAATTTTTTCATTCAACATTCCACGAGTGCGCGGAGGTGTGGAGAAATCGCGGGGCATATATCTTCCTGCTTCTCTATAATGACATATTGATGACACATCGTCAGGTGGTCTTCTGTCACGCTGCGAAAATTTTCGCGTCAATGGAAAAGTACGCGAAGAAAAATTTTTATTCAATAATTAAGCAGTGCTTCGGAGGGAAAAGTAATACAGGACTGCTTTTACTTTTTATGCTGTTGCAATAGTGCTCCAATTATTGAAAATACTTGTGTATGAACATTTTGTGTACGTTACAATGTGTATAATAGAATGCAAGCAAAACGAAAACACGATCACGAGACACGGTAGTGTCTCGCGCCAAGTGTAAGCGTAGCTAGTTATAAATAACGTCGAGCCCCAGGGAAAGCCCGCTTTTTGCTGCCCAGTGAAGATTCCTTAAAGTTTCCTGCGAGGCCTTTGACTCCTCAAACGATGTCTCGCGCTTAGGTGCGAAAAATTCCGATTAAATTTCTAAACACAAAGGCACGTAACAGTCTGCCGACATTGTGTGTGTGCGTATACGTACACAGGCATGGTTCACACGGTGTCAACAGCGCGGCGCCATTCCGCAATCAGGAAATCCCGTATCTTCGGACATTCAGCTCGGAGAAGATCCTGGATCGGCGGTCCTGGTCAGACAGTTAGTTGAATTATAATGAGCGGCGCGTGCTAGATTAGTCTGGTGCCGAGGCGGCGCGGCGCGATTGCCGGATTAATCTGCCTAGCGATTTAAAATTTATTCCTATACTCTCCTCGCTTCTAATCCTCTCTTTTCAGCACAGACGCCGAAGCAGTGGATTCGGTCCACGAACAAACAGAAGCGTGTATTTTTTATTTCGAGAGACCGTAACTTTCCGATTTTCCACGGCAAATTTTCTTTCTGCCAAAAGTAACATTGAAATCGATCCATTACATTATTATATTCTTTATATTAATTTTTTTTTGTATTTTGAGAGGCCATAGTTTTCCACGACGAGGCAGAAAAGTTCGCGATAGATTTTATTCTGTCAAAAGTGACACGTTGGAATCGATATTTTAATTACTATATTGTATTTATATTATTATAATCTTTGTATTAAATTCCTCAGAGTAGAAAAGGCCGCCTGCTGAAAAGAGAGCACTGATTTATGCAACTTACAATTAGTTGCACGATACTTGATATCTACCGTGCGCCACGAGATACTTTTAAAACCGCGCTGTGCGACCACCGGACGCGAGGAGTTTCAGATTAGAATTAAATTATGCAATTCAATTATGATTACATAACGTCTAAATCCATGGGAAAAATCCCCGAAGCGCAACAATAGTTCGTAGCAGAAGGAAGCGTTTAATGTTTAATGATGAATTGATTATAAATGCCGCGATCGCTATGAGAACAGCTAGTTTGCTATTCGAGGATAATTAGCGACGGTGACTCAGATGCGAGAGAAACTCTACGCACCGGAGCAATAAGACTCCAAATCGGTGTCATTTCTCCGTCTCTATCTCTCTCGGCGTCGCTAATGTTCATATTCACGCCCGCACAATCGTGTACACGTGCCTCTCGCGCGACAAGGCCGCGTGCAAGGCCGCGATGCGCCGTGATTTATTCGTGTACCGTAAAACTGAAAGAGAGGACTCGCTTCTCAGGCTAACCGCGATCGATGAATATCGACGCTTCTTCTCTTTTTTCTTTTTCATCGGGGAATAGTTCCGGTTCTGTATGTAAGACGGTCCAAATTTCTAGCTCGGCTGAACAACTCGAGACGCTAATCGCACGTCAATATTTTCTCGCCAGAAGGACGAACCTATACTTCCGGTTGAACTTTCTATCTCACGAAACCAACATCGCCCAGAATAATTAAGGAAGGTACAATATATCGTATCCAGAAAAAAAACGAGGTTTTTTCTTATACTTTTATTCGCCGATACCGCAATAACTAACTCGGTATCATTTTGAGATGTAAAAAATGCGATTTTACGTACAGTATTGATTAATTGAGTCTCCATTTTAATCAATAGATTTTTTTCCAAGTTATCGTGTGGAAAATAATGCGCAACGCGTGTTGTATTTAATTAATGTAAGGGTAATTTCGTACAACCGGTGTGAACGATCGAATCTCAATGGTATTTTGCGCGACGTAAACGTCGAGAAATGCTAATTGTAGACATCATTTAAGTCTCTGATTTAAAACTAGTTTAATAGGCACTGGCTGCCTGAATAAACTTATGCTTTATCTTCGAGGCATTCTCTTGTTGACGTCAACGTGAATAATGTCGGGGAGCCGTAAAATGTTAACTCGGCGCCAAGTAGTCGGATAATGTTACTGGTTTTCTAGAGGGACTAATTAAATATTCAAATTTGTTTTTCAACATGCCCCGAGGAATTTTTCGACGGCGCTAATTGGTAACCGGTCAAGCGCCCAAGAAACTCCGAGCAACTGTCACTCAAATTCGGTTCACATTTCGTCCGAGTGAAAAATTTTGCCTGCATAAAAATGAAGATTTCTTCTTGCCGTAATACGAAACAGAACCACCTTGTTTCATCTAATCTCAATTTTCAGCTCTTATGTAAAAAACACTTTCTTCGTAAAATTAAGACCCGTACAGCACAGACAGATTGCAGGAACGTTGCAGAATGATATCATTGAAACATTGCAATATTGCGTATTGATTGATTGAGTGATTTTAAATATAAGCATGTAATTATAAGTAAATATCAGTATGTGATATCGAAACGACTGAAAAATCATATATTTTTCATTACATCACATACTGTATACGATAATGATGCGTTGGATCTAAAATCGATATTATATATTTTAATATTCTAATTTTTAAAAATAAATATAAAATTTAATAAAGTTCAATGACACAAATGGCTGTCCAATAATAAATAAGACTTGAATATAAACGCGATTATTAATTATTATATCTTGAAAATGTCTACCAAACTAAATGACTCTACACAGATATTGTAAAAAGTTACATTATTATTATAGCAAAATTATAGAATTGTAGTTTTGCAACATTTCCGGAATATAAATGCCACATTGCTGATATATTGCAGGCATATTGTTAATTTATGTTTCCACAATGTCTCCGTAACGTTGCATTGCAATTTGCAACATTGCAACATTGTTGCTGCAATATTCTGTGCTGTATGGGGAGTCGATGGTCAATACGC